CTAGGGGAACCGAACAGCACCGCCAAACCAAGGTTCAGTTTGGAGGCAAAAGACAGTACAAACCAGAGTCAACCGGATCTTGAGTGATCGGTGGAAGAAACGACCGATCGACACGTCGGCGATGCGGCTTACCCAGCCACGGATGGTACAGTTGATCCGCCGCCTCAAAACCCCCAGACCGACGATCAGCTGCCTGATCGAGTGAAAAGGCACACGCCGAACATATTATGTCGCGCGCGGCAAGCCACGCATGATGCGGCACGCACAAACGGCGGAGCGGGAACGAGTTCGCGCGATGAGTCCCTTCCCAGCGGCAATACACGCCGAACTCCGGGGGCGGCCGAGCGCGTGGAAAGATTCGAGGAAGGAGAGCACGAACAAAGCCGAGCAGACAGTTCTCTTGTACTCTCTGTAAGCGTCTGTAAGCGGCAGACGCTTCAAAAACTCACACTTCACACCCGTGAACACACAGCGAGTATACACGCTCTTGCATCAGGCAGTGCTCAGTCATACGAGCATGTGAAATAAAGTATTCCTATATATATAACGTGTCGTGCATTACTATCCATCCGTTCCTGTGTCCATTACCACGTTCTTGCGGCTGTAATAGGCCCGGCTACGCATCGGCCCATAACGAATACCAATAGACGAGATTACTGTTTTTTACAATATCTAAATATATATGGACATATAATATGAAGCGGACACTGGTGGTGTATACGAAACACGTCCTCAATGATTTTATTTGCCCTGCGTCTCGGAACTGGTGTACTATTGTTACGTCCCGCGTTGCGGTCGTTACTCTACTTATAATTTCGGGTCCTGGCTCTTCTACGGTGCTAAAGCACGCCCTGTCTAAACTTATCGGTGACGTACGCGGTTTGGATTTGGAACGGGAGGAATAGGAAATCACTCTCGTTTATAATAATAATGAAGATATATTCTAACAATCAAATAAATAAAAGATATAAATAAGTCTTAACATACCAATGGTGATGAAGATGAATGATACGTTCGTGTCGCTTTAGTCGGTTCTATCGGGTTTCGGGTCTTTGAAAGGGCGGAAGACTCGCTGCGGCACGGAGCCGTGATACAGGGTTTAAGCACTGCGGGATACGTTGTCGCCGTCTCGGACTTTGCACTTCGCGGTCCGGTGTCTTATAAAACTCGTCTGTAGGCCGCGCGTAATCGCGAGGTCGCGTCGTACAAGGAAGAGATATCGTCGCGAAACCCGAACTGAACAGCTGAGTGACCGTTGCCGCTCAGCCCGCTGACGCGTATAAGAGATTAAAGCGGAGCAAGATTGTCGAAGAGCGAACGAACAAAGCGTAGAAGAATGTCACACGAGCCGAATCTGTCACGATGTAAATGAGAGCCGGAATACTGCGTTCCTCGGTTTTGAACAATCCTTTTATAAGTTCTTCCCCCCTTCCTTTTGTTAGAAAACGCGCAAGATACGGGGTAGCAATAGGCTATGATTCACGATGGTCGCCGAAGCGGAGTTTTAGAATCGCTGACGTTTCTGTCAGCGTCTCGAAGGACAACCACGCCCGTTGCTTCCACGTGTCGCTGAATTAAGGGGTCTCCCTAGTGTGACGCGCTAGAAATAAGGCAATCTTTGAGAATTTTTTAAAAGAAAAATACTTCGTGTTACAGTTCCAAGTTTTGAGCATTTATTCATTGACATTTGAAGAATGTATTTAAATTTTTGTAAGCAATAATAATTATTATATTTATAGTTATCGTGGTTATAAAACGACCTCGAAAAAAAAACACGTGTTGCTGGCGAACATGATTGCCGCTGTTGTAGCCATCTGAAACAGAAAAGGCAAGAAGATTCTTAATCTGTATGAGTGTGGCTATAGCCGGAACTAGAACAAAAGAAAATCGACAAAAAATACAAAAATGGCAAAACTTTAAAAAAAAATTTCACTTTTCGGCAAAAAATTTGTTAACTTTTTCAGCCGCAAAATTCGAATTTTGCGAATAAGGACTTTATTCTAGTTCCCGCTATAACAGGACATGTACTGAATATATATGTTAAGCCTCAAGTCATTTGGTTCAGTAGTTTTTGAGATATCATGTTCGCCAGGTCGAAAAAAGTCGTTTCGAGAAAAACGCGTTTAAAAGTTCAGATACTGTTTAACAGGTAATAAATTATACTTACGATTAATCACCTATGCCAGGTGCATACAGGACACCTTCCTCTTCCTCATAAAATTCCTGTATTGCTGCATTTGCCTTCCTCCTAGCAATTCGAGCTTCTTTTCTCGCCTCGAGGTGCCTTTTTTCACAGAGTAAAATTTGCCTGGAGTCTTGCGTATCCGCAAAACTTGTGGCTGAGAGTCCAATCACTATGCCCATCGTGTTGAGTATTTTTAAAATTGACAGATAGCCATCATTATATATTGCAGTGGCTAAATAAGATGCTATCTCAACCGTTTTTGCCCCATATGTTTGGGAGCAAAGTGCCAAAGTAGGCTGTTAAAACTCTCATTATTCTGTGTGTTTCCACCTAAACATCGTTCTAATAAATTGTCTTGAGATAAATCAGTATAAATCGGTTTGATAACTTGCTGTACAAGATCACGTCTTCACTTTCCAGTAATTTTTTACCAGATGTGCTGGCGAAACTTACGCCCTGCTCTGCAGTGTAACGATTTCCGCCAAAGTTTCTTTTCCTGGTTCTGTTTCCAGTGGCTTTTAAATGTTGCTTGTCACTTTTCTTAGCCATTTTCTGTCGCTTAGGTCACTTCTGTTCTGCCCGAAGGTCTACGACGAACTGAATCATTCACCTTTGTTTATATTTCCCGTAATTCAAATATACTACAATGAGACGCTTGGAGGGGTCCTTTTAGCACAGAAGGGGATGATTGAGGTAGCCGGTTCGTAGAAAACTCTGGGAGTAACGATTTTACATGACAAAAGAATCGGCCTTCGCTGCAAGCGTCGAGCGCTCCGACTGTATACCTGCGCGCCCGGTCGCGCCACTACATTTCATAGCTCATAGTGTTGCCAATTTTTCAAATTCAGCCGTAATGCTTTAGGAATATGTTCTTAAGTTATTGAACGTTAAGAAAAAGCAAAAAAAAAAAATCGATTTTTTTGACCCGTCACACTAGGGAGACCCCTTAACGATTTTCGCTCGTTCTTCGCGTTTGAAAGTAATATGATAAAAATGTGCAATGAAAAGAGGTTCTGAGAATACAGGATATAACACTATTTTTGTAAAGTTTACTGTTCAAGATGCGATCGTATCAATTCGCACTGCCAATCATCAATGGACTATATTAGATCAGTAAGAAGTCAAGTTGATCTTTCTCTCTCAACATCCTATGTCTCATTCAGCATCCATATTAAAAATGTTAAATATAAAGTAATAATGACAAGCACATATATTCCGCCAAACACCTCCATCTTTATTAATTTATACAGGGTATTTCACGTAACTTGACCACCTTAAATATATCGCTTATTTTGTATGATAGAAAAAATATCAGGGGAGAAAAATATTCTCTTCGAAGGCGCCAATACGGTGCTGGGCCGAATTTTTTTCTTAAGGTCATTTTTTTTTTCGAGATTTCAAGGTCATCGAATTTTTTTTTTAATGGGACTACATATTTTTACTACAACACTCTTATAGCATATAAAAAATCAAATCCAACGAGGTGCAATGTGTTGACCTTCACGTGACCTTTAGCGAAAAAATCATGAAATGTTTGTCAGTAAGCTCAGTACGCGTTCGGGGACGGTAAATGAAGGAATTTCAATTTCATTGGAACAGTGTACCGTGTAATAGTCCCTGGTGCTTGTAAACAGACATTCGTATTCTCCTTTCATCGGCAGAAAACATGCGACAAAGGATTCTACATGAATGTAGATCAATTACTGCAGAGCAACTTAAAAATGTACAGCAAGAATTTATTTACCGCCTCCAAAAATGTATCCAGGTTCATGGTGCACATTTTGAACACCTTCTAAAATAAAGATTTAACTAAAGACTGTTCCAATGAAATTGAAATTCCTTCATTTACCGTCCCCGAACGCGTACTGAGCTTACTGACAAACATTTCATGATTTTTTCGCTAAAGGTCACGTGAAGGTCAACATATTGCACCTCGTTGGATTTGTTTTTTTTATATGCTATAAGAGTATTGTAGTGAAAATATGTAGCCCCATTAAAAAAAATTCGATGACCTTGAATCTCGAAAAAAATGACCTTGAGAAAAAAATTCGGCCCCTCACCGTATTGGCGCCTTCGAAGAGAATATTTTTCTCCCCTGATATTTTTTCTATCATACAAAATAAGCGATATATTTAAGGTGGTCAAGTTACGTGAAATACCTATACATCACAGATAGTACAAACATATTTGATATACTTTTTCTCTTTATAGTTATATGCAAGAAAAATTATTTTTTTCTGAAAAGATGTAATCTGCTTGTTAAAAGTTGAAAAATGCAATTGAATACTCTTTAATGTATGCTAATTCCAAGTATTATCACAATACCCTTCAGAAGTATGCAGTTCTCATGTATTACAACACAAACCTAAAGCACTATTAATAACTAGACTGTGGATTTTATGCATTTACAGTCTCTAGGGCACTGCAAAATATCTTTAAAAAAAAGAACAAAATTTCATCAGATGTTACAAACTTTCCATTTTATTCTTAGCTCAAAAAGATACTTTAGAGAGGACAAAAATTCGAACTTCTGCTTTTGTCTTTATGAATAATTATATAACATGTAATTTTACATACAAATCCGCTGTCTTCTAATAACTTATAATTCAATTCTAAGCAGCGAGCACAAAAATGATACTGACTATTGTATTTAAAGAATAACGATATTAATTTAAATAATTACTTTCTAGACGTTAAGTATACATTTTAATCGATATACTATAAATTATAGTCCATGTTGTAAAAGATTAAAAACAGAGTTTTTATAACGTATATATATATTCTCTTAGGAAAACGAAAGAAAATAATTTTTAACTCGTTTTAAAATAAAATAACTTTATCACTTTGCATTTTATGTCCTACATTAATACGCTTAAAACAAAAATTCTTGTAACTTGAAACTTATAAAATTTTGTATTGTATTACAACCCATGATATTCCCCTTTTAGAGTTTCGATTTGCGTACCTTGAATGTAGCTCCTAAACAAAAGTGATCACTACCAACCGCGAAATTAGGTATAGTAGGCAACGTACTGCACTCTTCAGTAGTCGGTAATCGGTATCTCTCGAGAGGTTCTAAATCGCTATAAAAAATGTAATCAACTGTAATCCACGCCCCCTGGTTAGTTGTAGCTTCTAATTTGCCTTGATGATTTTGGTGTTTATATATACTGGAAAAGCGGAACGGATGTGTAAGAGTGCCAGAAGAGAACTTTGCTTGACAACCACACACAACTTCTATGACTTGAAGGTCTGACGTGTCCGCGTTCACTTCGCTGCATATTGATGAATTGTTATCTGATGAATGTTCTCCTAAATTCATCTGCTCGCTACTTTCCAGCTGTAATAATAGGTGGCAATTTAGTTTTTACAGATTACGCTAAATTAATAACACAAAAAATGTCAATGAAAATAAACTTTTTAAATAGAATAGGAAGAGAATTCTCACCGGTTTTGATATGCACATTATATAAAAGTCTTGTTAGTCCTTATTCGACTACTGTATCATGATAAATATGTCAGAAAAAGACATACGTAACATACAAAAAATTTAAAACCGAGCAATGATTAATAAAAAAAAAAATTATAAATCTACCCTTTTAGATGAATCATGCTGAATATATCACTAATTAGAAGAAATGGAATACGGATTTACTTATTAAAAATTATTGAAATCATTTAGTTCGCAGTATACTTTCTATTCCTGTATGAATTTGAAAGAATTCAACAAGTACAGTATTCAGTGAAAAATCCAACAAAACATAGCATCAAAAAAAGTAGTTAGTAACCAATAATTAATAAAATATTGAAGGAAAATAAGAAAATTGTTTAGTCTCTTGCCTTATGATATCGAATCAGATATGACCATGAAGATACAAATCTCGCTTATGAAGTAATTTACGACCCAAATATAACATATTCTTATTATATTTAAAATATAACAATATATTATATTATAAATAATATATTATAAAATATAATAGATTCAGGAACAGGTAACACTTATGGTAAAAATTATACGAATGAATCAGACTTACAAATTAAATCACAAGGCAAAGAATTAATTGTTAACAGAACATACCATTACCGTAGCAGAGCCTTCCCCTCGCAACCTTTTCTTTAATATATTAAAATGTTGACAATTGTCCGTAACACATAGTCGCGGTGGAATTAAGGAATTTGAGAGAGATCGAAATTCTGCTTGCTGGAGATTTCTTCCTTTCCCTTGGTATTCAAATGCTCCCTCGGTAATAAATTTATAAACCCCAGAATATGGTTTTAAATTAAAGTCTCCTGCCAATATAATTGGCAAATATTTGGGACCTGTCCTATATAGCAATTACAACATATGATTAAACAATATTTGATATACAAAATGCATGTAAAATTCAATTTCTTTGGTTTTATTAGGTCGGTTCATAAACAATTTTGATTATGTTTTAACGGCTCTAAATATAAGCAAACGAAAAATCTTTTATTTTATACTGCACCACGTCGATAATATTTATCAATTGTTGATACGAGTAATGCAACAAATGAATGTGACATTTCCTTGGTTACTGAGATAAACATGTAATTTCTTTTAAAAACTGAAGCATGGCTAATTGAAATTCTATATGATAACGTCCTATGGTAAAGATATTTTATGTAAGGGAATATGTAAAATTTGATCAGCAAATTCAAAACTGGTAAATTGGTGTGATATTACACTGTATAAAACTTAAATGCACAATAAAGAATTTTTATAAAAAAACAGTTAAACACACTACTTTACATTATATTACATAAATGCGTAGTTTAAATTCTCAATAATGAAAGGGTAAAATAAATAATATTTTAAAATATGATGAACTGTCCAGCTTAAATATCTACATTACTTCAAATAATAGCCGAAAACATTACCTACACAAGTTGTATGGTTCTAAGAAGAACATATCATGGTGGCAATGGTTTCTTTATAGGTAGAAGCGTAGAAGATATCGGGAGATCAATTTTATTCTTTTAAATGGAATGTACTAATTTTTATTGTCACATTCGATAGAATAGCGAATTTGACGTACAAAGATATTAAGGGTATATTTGTCCTAAAACTCGGGTCCTACAACTAGTGATGGGACACCTAGTCGGATTCAGATCAATCGAGTCAGATGATGTCACGGGGCCTCGGTTCGCGGTGACGGTATCTAATCCCTATATTGCCCTATAAGCCTTCGGCGACCGATGTTCGGGTTACAATGTAATACACAGAACGAGTCACCCATGAATAAAAATTTAAACTTCTACTACTTTCAGTGTACTTTCTTAAAAATGTTATGAATAAATGTAGGTGATCCTCCTAATGAAAATAAGTTTTGATATAGGTATCAGTACAGTAAAACAATCCATGAATGGCACCAAGTTCAATACTTAAAAGTAGTTTTTCATATTATCGAATGCTTGCAAGTTAGAATACTGCAACAGTACTAAGAATCTGTATGCAATTGATGAGATATAAATAAAATAAACAATTATTTTTACTTCAGCGAAAGGGCAAAACTGTGACCAATTATCCCACATTTTCCTTAATGTCGCGATACAAATTATATGTTCTTAAAAATAGTCCGATTTATGTCGGTTTTGGACTAATTTTCATCAGGAGAATCTTCTAAATTTATTCATAACATTTTTAAGAAAGTACCCTGAAAGGAATAAAAGTTTGAATTTTTATTCATGGGTGATTCGTTCTGTGTGTTACATTGTAACGCAAGCGTCGGTCACCGAAGGCGTATAGGGATTAGATACCATCGCCGCGAGCCGAGGTCCCGTGACATCATCTGACTTGATCGACTTGAATTCGGCTTGGTGTCCCATCACTACCTACAACACTTTTGTTACACCCTGTATACCTTAGTACTTTTATGCTCATTGACAAAATTCGTTATTCTATCGCATTTGATCATAAAAAATTAGACATATCATTTAAAAAAACAAAACCGACCTCCAGATCTCCTTTGCGCCCCTAACCTTAAAGAAACTATTGCCATGATGATAAGATGTCCTTTCTTTCTTGCAACCATGTAACTTTTGTAAGTAATGTTATCGTCTATTATTTGAAATAATGGAGAAACTTAAGGTATACAGAGTTGGTAGGATACCTTGTATACAGCCAACAGATATTAATGAGCAAAGATAAAATTAAAATTATAAACACGTAATAATGAATCCAAGCAACTGATAACCAAGCTGAACAAATATGAGATTGCTAAAAACATACTTTTTGTAATTTGATCTGCTACACGCTTAAGAAATTGAGAAAATTACTCACAGTGTGTTCTCCAGAAAAGCTATCCTTTCAATTTCTGCCAGAAGAAGTTGCGTTTGTCCCAATCTGACGTCGTTTCGTTTGGGATTATAAAGTAAATGTGTCGTTGCGATTACCATCTGTATTTCAGGACTGTCTTTAACAGCTAGTTTTGCAATTATACCAACGTTGTCTCTACTCAAGAGTTCAATGCCTGATTGGTAAAGCTCAACTTTTGCGTGGTCCAAAAGAATAAACTGATCGGAGCGATATAGAAAAAGTAAACCATCTTTCTTCTCATTTGTTCTTTTTTTATATAAATAATTATACCCCAGCTCTAAGAATGGAACCAAAAACTCCTCTACATGTTCTTCTTGCATTTCTTGAAGACATATTACCTACAATAGAATGTAATTAAACATAATTTAACATACCACTTGACTCAATTATTATCATTTAAATTTTCCATTTATCTGGATTCTTTCGGTTATTGAAAGTCTTGTATTTTAATGTTAATGCTATTTCCAACTGATAGGTATCCTGACAATAAGAATTTCACTTTGTACTTTAAAAAATTAATGAATGCAAGTAATATACAATTTTACATAAATCGTTCGAGAAAACTAACATTAGCTCGCGCTCCTAAAATCTCTTGCAAGAGAAGCTGCCTCCTAATCTTCCAGGGTAGTGCCCGTTTGTCGTGACCCTGGTACAAAAATGGATAAGTTTCCAGTAGACATTGAGCCAAAATGTTGAAAGAAAGTAGTCTCACAATAAAAAAGTCCTCGGAATTAGAGGCCAGCTTCTCTGGAAAAAGTACACAATCAGTATTATCTTTTCTTTTTACCGTAACAATATTAAACTTACCCTTTTTCAAGCGTTTCCAATATCTCATTGCTTTATATTTTGGTCTATCCGACAGATACTTATCTTTTAAGGATACTGACGTTTCAAAGCACGTGTTAGTTCCAATACATTGAGAATCACTATCACACGCTAAATTTCCCGATGCGAAATTCAATGACACGTCGCAATTACTACTGGAATTATAGTACGTTTCGAAGAAAGATTCCATTGACGCTTGATTGAATGTTTGCTGTGCAGCAGAGTTCGTCATAGACTCCATCAAATTGGAGCAGGACGTCGATAATATTTGAGACAATGAGACACTTTTACAAAAATTTCTCAGAAATACTGGTTTCGCTGCTACTCCTGACATGTAAGGAGTTGGGAATGGAATAATGTCATAGTAAACACACTGTAAAGACAACAAAATTATAAATAAATTACAGCTTTCATATGAATATTCAAACACCGCCTATCTAATAATTTCAATTGTCTGCAGTTGGAGACAAAGGTGGACATGTAGCAAATATAATTATTATTCGTATTTAATCAAATATAAAATATTGGTGTGATATTACATTGTATGTCGCATTGTTGAAAATGGAATAATCGATTTTTCGTTAAACATTCGGATATTTTACGGCATTAAAATCGTGAATATTTCACGTATTGCAATGGCAGTAGCATCCAATAAAATCCATTTCAATTGTATAAAGTCTACTTCTGTAATAATAGACGAACAATTGAACAAACTCAATTACATTTTATACAGTACATAGGCATGTTTAAAACCGCTTAATTATACAGCTACTATTCTACAGTCACTTAGAATATTTTGTAATCACTTAGAACAGCGATCCGAACTTGGGGTACGTGCTTAATGTTTTAGAAGTACTCCAAAAAATTAAATAACCTTTTTTTATTCAAATCGTATTATCATGCATTTATCATGTATTTTCAAAATGTATGTTATCGTTATATGTTGTCCATTCAATACACATAAATATTGGTTAATAGCTTTTTTTATTACACTATTGGAAACAGCTGAAAAATCACGCGAATAGTTAAACTGAACACCCTGTATAGCACCTCCGTAATTCAAATATATTTTCAGGAAAATAAACAATTTCATGTGATTTCAGCAGTACATACAATTAGCATCATAATATAGTCTTTTATTGTATTAAAGCTACTTTATGTTTTTGGCACATAATTTTAAAAGTATACGCGTAAAAAGGGAAACAAAGCTGAATTAAATGTAACCATCATTTTTGTTTCTTACCATACCCTTCTCAATAATTTTATGTTTTATGAAAAACATATCCAAGTCATTGGCGATTTTCCACTAAATTCTACAACTATTGAAAAAAGAAGTTGCAAAAAAGTTTGGCTTATCAAATTTGGGCTTACCACTTTCTCCAGTATGATATTTAATACTGCACACTTTCAAATGTATTGTTCGGCATAACCTAAACACTTCTTATTTGTATAATTAATATATGATTTATGCCTAGTTCTGCAACAAACAAAACCCGATTTCTTATAATCGTAGTCAATTTTTCTTACTACATTTAGTTCAAATATTTATATCATAATATGTTAAATATTTTTTGTAAATAACTTAAACGTTTTAAATCATACATTTTTACATACTAAAATTTTGACAGTTCGTTATTTATCGACAGTTATTTAACTTCATTTCTTATATCTGTTTGAAACCAGTAGATCCCAAAATTCAACAAAAACTGAATTGCTTTTTAGCAATTTTGTATTACTTACTAATAAATATAATCCCGTAGAAGAATGGTTTATTCTTTTCTTTTTTCCATTTTGTATTTCACTTTGAGAATTTTCATTGAAGGTTCGTGGATTTTTTCTTGTTTTTGATTTGAAAAAAATTTAGCACATTTTTTGGTAAAGTGAATCTAATATCGATGGGCAAATGCTTATGAGCTGTGCTATACATATAAATATCACATTAATAAACAAAATTAAATTAAAGAAGCAGAAAGTAATTACCGATCTTTTTGTAAAAAATAATATTTAATAAACATTTTTGATATGTGATAGATGTTTGCCACACAATTGTATTGCGCGCGTAATGTCGAGACGACAGAATTCGTGCTACTAAAGTGAGAGAGACATAGATTTACAAATTATTGTATCTATTAATATTGTTAAATATAGTTAAGTAAGTGTATATACCCTAACAACATTTATGTATGTGCGGGTATATAGTACACATTATAGATATACTTATATGTTAATTTTAATTCAGTAACTACCTAGAAATGATAAGTGATACATTTTGCTGGATTAATCGGCCAAAGAGTCAGTTCCACACGGGCTGGTTACGCGGGAGTCTACTGTAGACCTACTATGACCTTATGTAGTAGGTCGTTGAACTTGTTACCGATCCATTTTAAAAAATGGAGGTGACTTCGAAATATCCAAAGTACCTCCACCTACAAAAACTCTCTTGGTACTGTGCAATTTTGGGTCAACAAATATTTCTGTGAATCTTAATGTTTCGAAGATCTCTGAGGTGGTAATACTTATGGTCCCACCCTATACAGGGTGTCTCAAAAATGTCTCTCTTCCGGGAAATGAGGGATTGCTGGGATGATTTGAAACCACGTTCTTCTTAGCGAAAATGTTATCTGCGGCTTTGTTAACGAGATATTAACGAAAAACCCCGACCAATCAGAGCGCGAGTTTGCCAGCAGAGTTCCCGCGCTACGCTTGTACTATGAAGCTCCGAACAAGCAAATCGGCATGCATCCTAGGAAACCGCGTATAATAACAAATAAGAAAAACATAAATCGAACTTTTTATCATCTTTCGTTTGTTATGTAAAGTGATGAATGAATGAAACATAAATGTAAGAAAATCATGTGTAACGTAAAAAGACGAATAGACAATTATTTTTTCAAAGAGAATCTTTAAGAAGCCCGAAGAAAAATCTAGGTACGGAAACTTGCAGAATTATTGTCGGGAACAGTCATATGTAGCTTGCGTTAAATTACAAAAATAATAATCAACATTAAATTGAATAGAACTCACCCTTTCGGAAATTCACCTGCAGCTTGCTGACCTGTGTCAGTAGGTCATTGTACCGATCCTGGTCATCGACGACCGAAACGGTTTATGGCAGGGTATCGCCGAGTCCGCAGGTGATGGCAGGTATACCTCACCAGTGGAAGTTCAGGGTTGTAACGTCAAGTGCCTCCGGGTTATTCCACCGAATACGTATTCACTTCACTGCACGACCACTAACACTGATCAGCCGACACGATCTCTTAATGTATTTTTAATCGGACGTGTTGTTCCTACGTTAGGAAAATTGGTGGCCCTGAAACGAGCCGATTGTTTTCAATTTATTAGATGTTTTACGTAGCCAGACGCTTGCCCAGCAGCAGCCGCATATCCGTTATTCTGTGCGTACCACCAGAACATTGCATAATAAACACGTGCTTTGCAGAAGTGCAACGAACGAACCATCGTACACATTCACTGAAGCGGGGGCTCCGTTAATTTATTGCCAGGATACCCATTGCTTCGAGATAGAAAGCAGAAACCACGTTTTCCTCGAGGACCAGGAAACAAAATTTCACGGACACATGTTGTGTTGACGCTACTTGGCTCTGTCCGAGCACCTTAGCAGAGGCCGGGCGGACGTTTCGCTACAGGACGCAGGGAACTTTTATACCTGCAGACTGAATTTCAACCATTTGAGGAATCAACCAGCATCGCATATCGTAACAGAAATATCTAGAAATCGCAAAACTGTACTATCTGTTTACTTATATTCAATAAGGTGAAAAATAATATCGATAGGAAATCATAAAAGTAAATCATCATAAAATAACATATAAATATAAAAAACGAAAAAAGTATAAATATTTAATTATTTAATTATCAATTGTATTATAAATTGTAACTATATTATTATTTGTTTATATTTGTATAAATTATAAATTATCATTGACACTTTGATATTGTTTTTAACCTCATTGAAATAATCTGGAGTGGTAGCAGTACGGTAATCGACCGTAATAGCGGAGCGCCAGGTTCTTTTATCATCTAGGGCTGTTTTCACCCCTTCGACGTGGACGAGAGCAGCTAAAAGGAAATACGTATAAAATATTTTTGTGAGAACTACAATCTCACAGAGTTGTATAAAAATCGGCGATTCTCAATTCGGCATGTTCCCTTGCGAGTCCACATCTGCTACGAGGTCGAAGCAATTAGGCTGCAAATAACCGAAATGTCCTCTCCGGCCTCTGCTAAGGTGCTCGGACAGAGCCAAGCAGCGTCAACACAACATGTGTCCGTGAAATTTTGTTTCCTGCTCCTCGAGGAAAACGTGGTTTCTGCTTTCTATCTCGAAGCAATGAGTATCCTGGCAATAAATTAACGGAGCCCCCGCTTCAGTGAAACTGCACGATGGTTCGTTCGTTGCACTTCTGCAAAGCACGACATTATTATGTAATGTTCTGGTGGTACGCACAGAATAACGGATATGCGGCTGCTGCTATGCAAGCCGTCTGGCTACGTAAAACATCTGATAAATTGAAAACAATCGGCTCGTTTCGGGTCCACCAAGTTTCCTAACGTAGGAACAACACGTTCGATTAACAATACATTAAGAGATCGTGTCGGCTGATCAGTGTTAGTGGTCGTGCAGTGAAGTGAATACGTATTCGGTGGAATAACCTGGAAGCACTTGACGTTACAACCCTGAACTTCCACTGGTGAGGTATACCTGCGATCACCTGCGGACTGGGCGATACCCTGCCATAAACCGTTTCGGTCGTCGATGACCAGGGTCGGTACAATGACCTACTGACACAGGTCTGCAAGCTGCAGGTGAATTTCCGAAAGGGTAAGTTCTATTCAATTTAATGTTGATTATTATTTTTGTAATTTAACGCAAGCTACATATGACTGTTCCCGACAATAATTCTGCAAGTTTCCGTACCTAGATTTTTCTTCGGGCTTCTTAAAGATTCTCTTTGAAAAAATAATTGTCTATTCGTCTTTTTACGTTACACATGATTTTCTTACATTTATGTTTCATTCATCACTTTAACCGTTTGCGTACCAGAGGGTTTTGAAAAAACACGATCGAAAAGCGCCAAGGAGCGCGATCGCGCTCCTTCGATTACGTGCCGAAAAAAGCCGAAGAGCGCGATAGCGCTCCTTTGATTATGCAATACATAAAATAAAAAGTTACGAATGAAAAAATATATATACTATTAATTTATAATAGGTAACAACAAAAAACAAAATGTACTACTTGGATTACTGATAGCGATGCGACGTACATGCGCCTGAAAGTCTGAGCGCGTTTCGACAAATTGTGAGCGCGCCGTCAGTTGTCTGTATCGGCCAAATGCGCTGGCTTTTTTC